TTTCTAATTTGATTATTATTTTACTCTTGAAGGAGACTCAGCTCCACACGTAATAATCCCTAATAAAGAGCGCATTCTACAAGGAATTGCTGTGACCGCTAACAACACGCGTGCAGTTTTTCACGACGTCCCCATATTTCCTGTTCTTGGTTTACATGACTTCCTGGTGCCATTTACCTTGCCGAACTCCAGTGATTGGTATGAGACCATTTTAAACTACTGGGCACCGTTGGTTGTTTGCGATGGCTGTCCAGTAGATGCTAACAAACCAACAACTATGGCCGTGCTGAGGAAAACGTTCTTAGAGGGTGGTTACTACAATGCAAGCATTGCTGGTATATTGCTGTTTTTAGTTCTACTAACTTCTTTAAAAATCGGTTTTCCAAATATGACGATTCAAGCAAAACCATCAAACGTTTTAACTTTACCTAAAGTTCTATCTGGCAAAAATGATACGCAGTTTCGTTGCTCGCAGAATATGTATCCATGGCAACCACTTGACTTTTACGTACAACTTTCATTTCTTGATGACGAGGGACTCTTGCTGTAAAGGTTGCATTTCCAGATTTTTGTACCTTCCTTTTACTAGTTTTGATAACTGCCACAAAATATTGTCGAAATGACGTTAACCAATGAAATTTAATTCGTAGATGGGCAAATGGTTTTAATCGTCTTAAATACCTTGTATTGGCACCAGAGAAGCAACCACAAAGATCCGAAAGTTAACCAAACCGCGATAGGGCAGTTTTCTTGGCTAGAAAATCAACTCAACTCTGCAAAAGAACATGGCAAGAGGGTGCTTATAACAAGTCACAGTCCTCCAGGGTGAGTGAGTGAATCGTCAATAATTATTATGGGAATGGTTACATGAAGTATAAGTTAAAAAAGTTGCAGTCTCGAACTGTCGCATATGGATTATAATTTAACGCTTCGGGAAACTGATTACATTATTCCCCATATACTACTCTCAAGTTTCGACAAGTTACTCCAGCACTATAGTGCAGTGAGAGCACTTCTAACCAAGAAGNTGCAAGCATTGTTGGTATATTGCTGTTTTTAGTTCTACTAACTTCTTTAGAAATCAGTTTTCCAAATATGACGATTCAAGCAAAGCCATCAAACGCTTTAACTTTACCTAAACTTCTATCTGGCAAAAATGGTACGCAGTTTTATTGCTCGTAGGATATGTATCCATGGCAACCACTTGACTTTTACGTACAACTTTCATTTATTGATGACATCGGACTCTTGCTGTAAAGGTTGCATTTTCAGATTCTTGTACCTTCCTTTTATTAGTTTTGATAACTGCCACAAAATATTGTCGAATTGACGTGTTCGCGACTAACGCCGTTAACCAATGAAATTTAATTCGTAGATGGGAAAATGGTTTTAATCGTCTTAAACACCTTGTATTGGCACTTCAGAAGCAACCACAAAGACCGGAAAGTTAACCAAACCGCGATAAGGCAGTTTTCTTGGCTAGAAAATCAACTCAACTCTGCAAAAGAACACGGCAAGAGGGTGCTTATAACAAGTCATAGTCCTCCAGGGTGAGTGAGTGAATCGTCGACAATTATTATGGTAATGGTGACATGAAGTATACGTTAAAAAAGTTGCAGTCTCCAACTATCGCATACGGATTAGAAATTAACGCTTGGGGAAACTGATAACATTATTCTCCATATATTACTCTCAAGTTTCGACAAGTTACTCCAGCACTATAGTGCAGTGAGAGCACTTCTAACCAAGAAGTTCTTATTCCTTAGAAAAAAATGAAAAAACAATGAATGTGCGCATGACCCTTGATTGTTCTTTATTTCATCTTCATAATATTTGCGCTGGCAAGACAATGTCGACAGAATGGTCTGAACTAGTGAGG